CAAGAGTGTTGATGGTTGCCAGGCATAAGGCTTGATAATTTACTTTATGGTCCTCTCTCTGGAGATATTTTCCCTGCCAAGGTTAATGACTCCTTGATAATTAGAAACAGCATGAGTCCCGAAAGCAAGGGTGTGTCTAATGTTCTCAGCAAAAACAAATGGTGAACACTGTGACCTTCAGGACAGCTCATAAGGTTGTGGGAAAAAACTTTGAAACATGACTTCAGGAAACTGCTATGTAAAATATAAGGTTGCAATATGAATTATGTGAGGGACTTCACAGACCTAAAAGAACACAGGCAGCTGCACTATGAGCCAGCTTATCAGAAAGACACTAAGGAAGGAGATAAAGAGATTTGAAGATTAATGATTGGAGGGCAAGATCCCACCCAGCTAAGTTTATTGTTTGTACTTACAAAGACAGGCAGATTTTTTTCAATTCAAAGTCATCCTGGAATAGAACTAGTTTAGGCCCAAGCATGGCAGGAATGGTGATCTCAGAGTGGATCCTGCTAGCTTATTGTCTGTGCTTACAAAGGCAAGCATATCTCTAAATTCACAGCTATATTTAAAAAAAATGTACTTGTTGTCTTTTCTAAGAATCAAGGGGCTAATGTCATAAAATGCTGTTTCATGGGGAAATCAAAAGGGAACCTGGGATTGAGGATTGAATTGATATGCAAATAAAAGTTAGGCTTTGGTCTGCAAGAGCTACCCAGAAAGAACTGCCTGGAGAGGGAACACAGGTCCTTTATAATTTTTGTAGCAAGATTTCTGACTTTGGTCAGAAAACCAAAAAGCTATCCTAGAGAGCTGTTAACAGTCCTCTTAGATTTCTTTTTGTAGCAGCTTTTTTGACTTTGGTCAGAAAATGCGTAAGCTATCCAGGGAGCATTTTTGTTTTTGTTTTTATTGGATATTTTGTTTATTTGTATTTCAGATGTCATCCCCTTTCCCCATCCCTCCCCTAGAACCTCCCTATCCTATCCCCCCTCCTCCTTCTTGCTTTTTGTCCTTTATTAGTCTTTTAAGTTAACATACAAAGTACTGGGTTTTATTGCAGCATCCCCATACATGTGTCATTAGAGTTCTGATTTGTTTCCCTCTGCCCCTTCCCTTTCTTCTTCCAACTAGTTTCCTCATCTGATTTCCTGTCACATGTATCCCATCACCCACCCTCCTCATCCTTTTTTTTTTAATTAGGGGGCTTTTAGAACTTCTTCTAGCAAGAGACAGCAGAAAGCTATCTTGAATAGACTACAGAGCCAAGAGTTATCTACAGAGGGCTGTCTAGAGAGCCATATCGAGCTGATGACAGAGCAATCAGCTTGTATCCAGTTGTTCTTCAGTGGCTCCCCCAAAATAAAAACCCTTCCTTAGGACCTCTGACAAAGCTGAGGCTGGCCCTTGCCAGTGTAGTTCTACTGTTATGTAAAAATTATGAAGACAGGCCATCCATAAACCAGATGAACATTCTTTCCAGGCATGTGAACAGTACTTTCACCTTTTATTATTGGATATTTAACCTGGTTGTGGATACAAGAGGATGGACAAAGGTAGTGATGTGATTCCTTGGTGTAAGCAGGACATGTAGATAGCTAATTCAACAGAGAGTAAAACAAAGGGGCTCCCATCAAAATGCATTTCTTATTTTTTTAGTTCTTCAAACTATCCAACAAATATTTTTAAGTTCTACAAAACTATAGGGAAATATCTAGATACTAGAAACATAAATCTGAAAGGACTTTACCCAGAGAGATAAGTAAATAAAGCTAACATGACACAATAAGTGATAAACATAGACTGTCCATGGTCTGTGTGTTCATTTCATTTTCACTGCTCTGACAAAATACTGTGAGCAGAAAATAGCTTAGGGTACAATGGTGACAGTCTTCTAGGTTATAGATCATCCTAGCAGGAAGTCACAGTGCTAGAAACTCAAAGCACCCATTCATGCCTCAGTCACTTTAAGGATGTGAGAAACAAATATACTCAGGGCTTCCTGCCTGCCTGCCTACCTGCATCCATGCTTGCTTGCTTGCCTGCTTGCTTGCTTCCCTGCTTGCTTGCTTGCTTGCTTGATTTCTCCTCCCTTATACAAGTTCCAATGCCTTGGGAATTATACTTCTCACAGTGGAATAGGACTTCATCAACTGAAGCACACATATCTCTGTGTTTAGTACAGTGAATGATATAATTTTAGGCATTCATATAAAAGCCTGTATTTCAATTTTGGAAATTCAGCTTATTGCCAAAGGACACACAGAGTCAAACATTCACCACTGAAGAAAAATAATAAATACTTTTGAAATTTTGACTTAAATTGCAGCATTCATGGTAATCTATAGCATAATTCAATAATGGCTAAAATCTTTATCATAAAAATGACTAGCATCCTGAATATTTTAACTATGTGACTGAGGGTGATCTGTAACCTGCCACATTTTGTTTTTGTTTGGAGTCATCTAGATCTAGCTTCTGACCTACTTAAACTCTCCTTTTCCTATTGAGAAGATATAGTTTCTTCAGTTTCTACCTTTGGAATCAGATTGCCTCCTTTCTATAAGCTCAATGGCCCCTTTAAAAGTCTTGGGTAATAGTTCTTCCTGGCCATCTACTTTCTCACATGTGCTAAGGAACAAGCCTGGGAAGGAAGAACAAGAACATCCCAGGTGCTCATGAATGTGATGGAAAATGGGCATTTTCCAGGCTACACAGTCAACTCTGCTCTTCAGTGTCAAGTCCTTAGTTCACATAGAACGTACATCACATACACTCTGAAACTGACCATTTCTGTGCAGTTTTTAAAACAATTTTCCATCATCTACATTTTTCAATCAGTTAAAAATTGTACAAAATATCTAATACTGAGGTTTTAAGATCAATATCTGACAAATAAGACACATTTTATTCAAAGCAATGCGATATGGAACAAATTAAAATACTTTTAAAAATGAATCTCAAACTTGTCTCCCAGGTGTCTTTCACTGGGCTAGGACAGGGATAAGCTTTGTTCACAGTTGATCTATCTATAGGAGTTCAAAACTTCCCACCTGCCATAGAAGTAAGGAATATCTCTGCTTCCTTCTCTAAACTTTCATTACTAAACTCATACCACAAGAGCAGTGTTCATGATGCCCAGAGTAGCAAGCTTATTCTTTTGTCATAGAATATTGGTTATCACGTTCCATCCATAAATACTAACAGAGAGTGTGTGTGTGTGTGTGTGTGTGTGTGAGAGAGAGAGAGAGAGAGAGAGAGAGAGAGAGAGAGAGAGCACATGGATGCCAAATGGACATTTACTTATGTTGTATGTTTTTCCCATCAATCAAACTTTTCTAAAATTTATTGACTGTCCCACATCTCCCACATCACCTATAGAAAATGGTATGGAGGTTTTCGAATCATATCAATCATATGGGCTTATTGAAAATTCACAGTCATATGGGCTTTCACATATTTTGCATATTAATGTTTTTATCTGCTCTTTTTTTCTTGTCAGTTCATTTCATTTAACCTTCAGAGATTGGAGAAGAAAGGCCTCTTAGACTGCACTGGCATTACTTGACACCCATATTGTTCATTGAGAATTATTCCATTGCACATGTTTCCAATGATCCCAAGTCACACACATTGTTAGTGCAAACTCCACATAATTTCTCATAATATATTTCCTTCCTCCATTAGTTCATAATTTATATTGTACTTTAAAATTTTCTACAAGTAATGATTTGCATTCAAGAAATACCAACAAAGTAATAGGTAAAGGTTATATAAAGGTCACTTCTTTCCTGCAGATTATACATTTTCTGTTGAACTCTATGAACATCTGGACAGAATTTCTTCTATAAAAGGAAATACTTCTAGTCCCAAAGTAATATTCTTGAATTAGCATTTTGACTTGACACAGACAGGGCGTGAAAAAAAGTGTGAAAAGGTCTTTCTAATCTCACATTCACACACACACACAATGCCTCAATTTTTCTTCTCAAACAAAATTCTGGATTATAAGGAGATCCTTACTGACTTTTCTATTCTTCATACTTGTTTATTATAAAACCAGTTACTGACATTATATACAGCTTCATAAATCAGTGCATACCATTTATAATGCAAACTGCCCTTTTAAGCTATATAATAGGTTACTTTGTGCAAAAGAATATGAAGGTATAATTGTTGTTGTTGTTATGAGTAACATAAGAAGGTCATTGAATACTTTGAAGTCATATCTAAAATATCCAAGAAAAATATTCAATAGTTTTATTACTATATCCCAAATTCTTTCATTGTTATTTTGAAATTCCATTCTATAATTTGACACCTTGAAGGTAATCACTATATTTCTCTTGCAACATTTATGTATTTATTTAGTTGTTTGTTTGTTTCTTTGTTTGTTTATAAAGCTGGATATCCTTGAAGTCCTGATTATTCCTTCTCATTTTAATATATTAATATTCTGTCTTTTTCTAGAAATAAGTAATATAGCTATTGGAGAAAGAAGTAAATCAAAGAGAAATAATAAAAATAACTCCCATAGAATTTTGCCATCATGAGATTGACTTATTATAAAACTCTTTATTCATAAAATATTTTTCAAATAAGTAATATTTAAATGTTTGTAGATTTTAGAGAATGTAAAAAAGTTTCATTTCTTCTTTATGTAAATTTATTAAGTGAATTTATCATTCCTGTTTAAATACAAATTAAATTTTTCCTAGTATGTATTAAAATAAATTTGAATATCTGTAGGTACATTTTTCTTTAATTGGGAAATGAATTTAAAAAGTTAGGAGAGATTTAAAAATGTCTGTTTGAGATTCTTATTTTAGGTGAAAATTACTTTAGCCTAAAATGTTCTCACAGAAAATTTTCCATAATATTCTGATAATGAATAACATTTTACTTTAGCTTTAGGATAATGAGAACAATGAAACAGATATTCAACATGTTTAAAATTTTACTTCCCCCTTTTGAAGATGGAAAATTTCAGCACTGCATACCTGGGGATATGATGTAGAAGAAATCTTTGAATTCATCCATCCACACTTCTGCCAGTCTTCTGTTGTTCTTGTTAATGACATGGCCAGTGCCACCAGGGAATGTGTATGGAGTTGCCTTTCGAAAAACATGACCAACATGAGAGCAAGTCACAATCTCCAGAGAGCCTCCACATTGCCAGATCTGGGGAGAAGAATAATCCCATGTAAGAACCAATAGGAATTATGCAATGAGAATTCCTATCATGACCAAAGCTTAGGCAGAAACTACAGATGTTACATATTTCAAAAACATATTCTATAGATGCAGATTTTGTGCTAGGGTAATGACATTTTATTAAGGAAGATCAACTTTTTAAATATTTGTAGCTAAGATGCATTTCTTTTCCTGTTATTTTACTAAGGTAACCCAAGTTATAAAGACAAGTATTTACCTACGTATTATTTAATAGATAATTTAGTATCTGAATTCTGTATAAGTGAGGCTCATTGTGACGTGATATAGACAGCAATGTCAAAATGCAAATTTGACTTGCAGAAAAATCTATCAAAATATTCTTCCATTTGGGATTGTAAATCGTAACCCAGCCCCAGCCGTCAAATTTTCCCGACACCAATGTCATTATTCTTACTAATGTTTTAGGATACTTTTCCTTCTGCTAACCATGTACATATTCTTCAAAATTATTTTTTCCAAGCCATACTTTGAAGAGACTGAGTAATCTTTTAATTAATTAAACCACAAGCATTGTTTTAGCAATGAGCAGAGTGTATTACATTGTGACCATTTATTTATTTAAGAAAAATACTGTTAAAGAAAGATTCTTTGAAAGGAGGAACTCTTGGAAAACATACCTTGAATTTCTTGATATTTTCATATGTATGTAGTTGAAGGCAAGTCTTTTATAATGTTTTCACAAAGTTTTATTTCAAAAAGTTTCATTGTATAGCCCAAACTTTATTAGCATTTTGTATGAATCAATGTTTACACTGGCTCCCATGTCAATAAGTTTTGAATCTGTGTATTCAAGTAATTTTGGATTGAAAATATTGGAGAATGCTATCTTTATTAAATATGCACAGGCTTTTATGTTGTTGAAAGTAACCAATTTGGCAAGTAAGATGGCTCATGGAATAAGGACCCTCCTTGCAGCCTGACAAGCTTAGTTAAGTTCCCAGAACCTGAATGGTGGAAAGGGACACATGATTCTAGAAGGTTGTTCTCTAACCTACATAAGCATGTGTACCATAAATACGTACACACACACACACACACACACACACACACATATACATACACACACACATTAATATAACAGAACAGAAATACAGAATACAAACTATTGCATAGCAACATTGCAATATTTTAAAAATGAACAATCTTCAGATGTTTTCAAGTTCACAGAATGAAATGCTCATATTCAAACATTGTGAGTTTTATATAATGGACTTGAATAGTCACAGCTCTTGACTCACAGTGTATGGTAGTTTAAATAAAAATGCCTTCATGTGCTCATAGAGACTTGGTATTATTAGGAGGTATGTACTTACGGCCTTATTGGAGGAAGGAAGAAAGAGTGTTACTGAGGTTGGTAGGCTTTGAGGTCTCAGATGATTAAGACAGGCTCAGTGTCTCACTATCTCTTCCTGCTGTCTATGGCATAGAACTGTAGAACTCTCAGCTACCTTTCTAAGACTATGTCTCCCTACATGCCTACATGCTTCCCACCATGATGATTATGGACTAAATGTTTGAACTGCATGTTTTCCTTTATAATAGTTTCTGTGGTCATGGCATCTCTTCACAGCAATAGAAACTCTAAGATACTGTGCCAGGACTTGGAACTAATTATCCCATCCCCATACATATTAAAGACTGCCAGAGTACAAGCACATGAACACACACGGGGGGGGGGAGTGGGGAGGGAGGAAGAGAGAGAGAATTATTACTACTGCTATTTACAAACATTACAAATAGGTGTTGATTACTAATAAACTAGTAGCCATTATTATGGTAGTTATATAGTTACAGTAGATATATACATTCAAGATTTTGGTTTTACACTGTAAAAATAGTTTTCATGCCTTGGTAGTTTTTTTCCAAGCCAATCATTAACGTGTATAATATTTATACTTTTATATATCTGATTAAAGAACATTTTTAGCAACTGACCATGAAAGAAATGTTTGAAAATGATCTTGTATTGGGCTTAAGGATATTTATATTTCACCACAAGGAGACTGAGAATGATGACAAACTGTACCCACCACAATGGTTTGCATATTTGACCTGTATTCTGTTCTTTTTGTCTTCTAACTTCCCAAGGCTAAAAGAGTGGAAAAGATGAGAAATCCAACACTTAAGCAGAGATCAGAATGGTGGCATTATCTATCCCTCTCGAAGGTCAAGCATCTTTTCCTAAAATACTTCATAGTCTCATAACTTCTTTACTCTTTGTACTGGCTGGTTTCATGTTTCAACTTGACACATACTAGAATCATCAGAGAGAAAGGAATCTCAGTTGAGAAAATTCATCCATGGGATTCAGCTTTAAGGTATTTTTTCAACTAGTGATCAACGTGGGAGGGACTAGGTCATTGTGGGTGTTACAATCCCTGGCAGGGTGTTTGTTACTTGTTTTTTTATGAAAGCAGTAAGCAGCACTTCCCCATGGCTCTATATCAACTCTTGCATCCAGGACTCTGCTATGATTGAGTTTATGTTTTGAATTTCTTCAATAATGAACAGAAACATGGAAGAGTAAGTTGAATAAATCCTTTCCTCTCAAACTTGCCTTTTGGTCATGGTGTTCATTGCAGCAACAGAAACCCTAACCAAGGCACACTTTAAAAATGAATCCTGAAACATATCTTGCAATTTGTAGGCATGATTAGATTCTTCTGTCCTTTAAATGGAGGTAGTTGATCTTTTTTCCCCATATTGTAAATCAATGCTTAGAAATCAGTCTAGGCACATCACCTATGTCTATCGAAGTTAAGGTCCAGTTCTTTCTCCCCAAAATAGGACTCAGAATCAAAATAAATTCATCTTGACCATATAGCTAGGCTCTACTATGGTTAGAATATAACTAAAGATAACCCATTTTATTTTAGCCTACATTCTGCCACATGTTTGATTACCTGTGTTCAGGTACCATGTGTCTGTCTTGAACACCTTCCCAGACATACAAATTCTCATCCGGTATGTTTCACTTACACCTTTTAAAATAACACAAACTATTGTATTGGCTGGTTTTGTGTGTCAGCTTGAAAGAAAGCTGGAGTTATCACAGAGAAAAGAGCTTGAGTTGAGGAAAAGCCTCCATGATATCCAGCTGTAAGGCATTTTCTCAATTAGTGATCCATGGGGAGGACCCATTGTGGATGGTGCCATTCTTGGGCTGGTAGTCTTGGGTTCTATAAGAAAGCAAGCTGAGACTTTCGGTCTGGGCTCGAGCATAGAGCAGATCCCAGGAGGCTGCTCTGTACCCAACCTCACAAAACCCAGAGAAAGAGGGCCTCCCAGGAGCTTTAACTCGGGCAGTATCTCAGGTAAAATGAATCACCCGTGATGTCTGCTGTTAGAAGTTCTAATCCAGATGCTGGCCTCCGAACTTATACTACTCAGACCTTCAACTGTCCATTGACAAGAATATCAAACAGCTAGAGACTGACATCACTAATCTGAAGAAATCCCTCATTTCGCTGTCTGAAGAGACCTACAAAAATGCAAGGGAGTTTATTGGACTTGATTTACTCTTTTACAATAGAAAAGGCTGTGTACAGCTCTTGACTGTGTACAACCCTTAAAGAAGAATGTTGCCTTTACATAGACAAGACAGGGGTGGTTAAAGAGAGCATGAAAAAGGTCAGAGAAAGCCTTGAGAAAAGACAGAGAGAAAGAGAAAGATGAGTGCTGGTACAAGAATTGGTTTTCAGCATTTCCATGGTTGTCAAACCTACTTCCTCCCATCTTGGACCATTATTTGGGTTATTTTTGCTTATTTCTTCTGGTCCCTGGGCCTTAAATAGGCTGACTAACTCTGTGAAACAACAGATAAATAATTTGGTAGCAAAACCTATTCAGATACATTATCATAAGTTAGCTATGGAGGACCACGAGACTCAAGATGAGGTTGTTATTCTATCCAGGTTGTCCCCAAAACCCATCTCCACCCAACCTAAAAGAGGGAACTTCCACACCTAGACCAAACAGAGAGAGGCCACCCAGAACTCCCTCTGACTGATGATCTGAATTCTTGCTTAGGCTGCAAGGCTAAGCACTGCAAGGGAATATAAAAAAAAGTTAAAAATATCTCTCTTGGTTCCCCGAGGGACAAGCCTGACTGCATAGAGATTGATGTCAAAAGTATCCCCTCTCCAGGAAAAAGACAGTGGAATGGGTATGGCCCTCATGCCTCACTGGACAATGACAGGGGGACCGGAGCCATTACAAGGTCCCCTTCAATGACTGGAGGTCAGGCCTCTATCCCCGCCTTCACAAGATTAGAATTGCCACAGCCCTTCTATACTTAGAGAAGGGAGATGTCAGGGGCAGCCCTGCTTATACACTGAAGGCCTAAAATCAGCCATAGACCTGTCATACATATATACTAACACCGAGTCTTGGGTCTCTGTGGAAAAACATTGAAACAGATGACTATAAGCTATTGTAAACAAGCAGCTTTTATCGAAATTTACCAGCCTGAGTAGTCACAGACCTTGTAAATAGGTAGCCTCAGCAGATAATACCAATTTAGATAAGGACAAGTGAATCATAGGCAGAGTCATAGTGACCTGTCCCCTGAACTTTCACCCAGCCGATTGATTCCCTGTTCTGAAAGATATCTGTATTCCCCCTGAACACCCATGCTCCAGTGTCATCCTCTTCCCCACGTCCTGCCTTTTTGTGTTTTTAGCCCATGTGTGAATAAGTAAAAATTATGATTTGAAAATTTAAAAAACCAGCTAAACAAACAAACAAACAAACAAACAAACAAACAAAAAGTGAGCAAGACAGAGGAAGCAAGCCAGTAAGCAACATCCCTCCATGGCCTCTGGATCAGCTCCTGCTTCCTGACCTGCTTGAGTTCCAGTCCTGACTTCCTTTGGTGATGGACAGCAGTGTGGAAATGTAAAATGAATAAACTTTTTCCTCACCAACTTGCTTCTTGGTCATGATGT